TATGATGGAGGTAATTTATAGGTTTTGGTAGTGATAGAAATTAATTATTTTCTCAAATATTAAAAGACAATTTTGCACTATGCAGGCTCTGTAGGACAGAGTGCAAACTTACTTAGGGGATGACTCCAAACCTTTTATTTCCATAGCAGAGCAGTTTCTCAGCCTGTTCATGCTGAAACATCAAATGAAGAGCATGCTGGTGCCAGCTGGGATGGGAGGCATCCGCCGCTGCTTGGGGTTGTGTTTCAGTTGACAGGTGGAAGTCAGGATGGCATTGAGAATGTCTTTGATGCAGTATTTAACATGTGCCCTTTTCCTAAAGGGGGAAGATCAAACAACAGGAAGCAGCTTCCTTGATTCTAAAACAAAACCTGGCTTCTCAGCCTGCCTTCTGTGCAAAAATCTGCCCCTCTTTTTTTCAGAGTGGGAACAAACTTGTTATTTTCCTGCTGTGCATGGAAATCCATGTTGATTTTGCTCCTCTGTGAGAGCATCACATAGGAAATGGAGCTGGATCCAAGCCAGCTCCTAGTCTCTGAGGTACACCTGTCCTTTTACAAAGGGGAGAGAGTGAAAGCCTCCTATCCCTCCTGTGTATTTTATACCTTGTCTTTGCTTCAAGCAAGGAAAGTAAATCCTGGAGTTGGGAAACCTGGCCACAGACCAGAGTCTCTTGCATATTTCTTTTATTGTCCCTGTGAGCGATGTGTTTCGAGACCCTGGCAGCTCCCATTATGAATATAAACCAGATCACACCAGGTGGCCCAAGAACTGCAGTGTTTTGTTGAACAAACCAGTCATAGGGAGCAGAAATGTAGCTTACTACTTGCACCAGACTTTGTGCTGTGGCTTTCGTTATCTCAGTGAACATAAAAAAAAAAAAGTCTGTTTAAATGGTCCTCTATTTAGCTGGGTGGCCGGTACAACATCAGCCTTGGAAGCAGTTGTTATTGCTCACATTTAAGCCTCATCTAAGATATTGAGAAGGTAAGTACTGAAAAATAAGGATTTAGGGGTTGGGACTAGATCCTTCCATGGTTTTGTCTTCTACCAGTCTGGTATGTTTCACTTCACTGAACTGTATGTTTTCTATACTGTAAATCTAAAGCATAATTAACTTATAAAAGGAGGCAAGAGAAAATACAGATTATGTAGACTAAAGGAAAACATTACATGTGGAACCATACTTTTTTTTTTTTTTTGAGATATTCCTTGTGATTCAGAAAACTGAAAGCGATGGAGGATATAGGAAGCGTATTTAGTTGTGTTTGTGTAGGTGACCTAACATTTGCAGTTGCTTGGTGTTGTGAATGTAGGCTGCTTTTCGAGCTTGGATATAGCAGAGCAATCTTTCTGTTGTTTTTAATGTGGGCATATAATATTTTGGTTTGGAATTCAGTAATGCAGCATGTGTGCACAATATATTCAGAACAATATAAGTCAGGTTCTGTGCTTTCATTATTTTTTCTAATGCTATGTTAATTAGTCTGAACCATCTTGTTGAAATGTATTCAAGGTCAGCACTGCATGCTGAGCTGCTGGTGTTACTGTATTACTTTCTCTGTTAAGGCTTGCTTGATTTGAATGAAGAGAGTGCAGCCACCTGGCAGTAACACGCTGCTTACCCAGTACTTCTGCTTTTGAATGTCAGGGAATCATACAGCAGCTGCTGGCAAGCAAACGCTTTGCATGTTACAGCATTCATGCTTTTGCTAGTGGCTTGATCACAAAATCTTTGTCATCCAGGACAGTGTAAGTAGACATCTCATGAAAACTGAAATGAATCAAGCCACAGAAGTTATGATTAAATTATTTGCTCATATGACTACTTTAATGCTTGTAAGTATGCAGAATGTAGTGTTAGTTATGTATGTTTGTAATGAGCTAATAGAATGAAAAAATCCCTGTGTTTTAATACATTATATCATATGTTTGATCTCTTTCCGTGAACATGGGAAATCAAACTGCATGAGTGTGTTCTTCTGTTGCATAAAGGAGAGAGCAAATAAGAAGTTGTTCTTCTTTCACTTATGTAAGTAGGTTCTATATTAGCAAGTAGAGGGGAGAAGGTGAAATATTTTTATGCCTGTAAGCTAGACTTCAACTAATACAAGTGCTGTTATGTGTAACCTCTTAATTTATGTGGGTAACAAACTCAAGGGTGGGATGACCCAGATCTGATTGCGATCTTGAACCAGCATAAAGCAGATGGACAGCAGCAGCTCTGTGTGCAGCCACTGCACTGGTATCAACCTGAGATCAGGATCAGAAACATTTACATATTCGAGACAAGAAGGTGAAACTTTATAGTTTGTTTTTCTAGTTTTGAAAGAACTGTAAAAGAAACCATATCTTAAATGAGTTTCTACCTTTCATTTTCTTGTACTGTGAATTATGAAAAAAGGCAACGTTTTTTGCTCTAACATTCCAACTTCAGAAAATGAACTTTCTCTGATCAGTACCTCTGCTACTGATGGTGTACAGTTAGGACTCTATAATAAGTATACAATAGGGCATCTCTACTCTTTGGACAGTGAACAGGATATTCAGAACTGAGCACTGTCAGCATCTGGAATTAGCACTTGTTACCTCTGCATTTGGGACAGACAAACATACTAATTTAATGATGAATTTTTGGCTCTCTTTAATTTTGAAATGTGGGGAAATAACTGTGAAAATTATACCCTAAGAGAAAAAAGGCTCTTAGCCTTTGCTCAGTTACAATGTGTGTCCTTATCCTAAAGTCATGAAGTATGAGATTTTCTTATGGAACTGAAGGTACCATATGAATGCAGATGAAGATTCAAACAAATTAGTTAGCTAAAATAAATAATAAAATGTGACCAGGAGGTGTAAGGCAAGGCTGCAGCACAACAGGATATTAGAATTATGCAGCCTTTTAAAGGAAGGTAAGATAATGCAGAGGCAGTGCAGCAGATTTTAGAATTGAGGTAGGCATCAGATTATGCTTCCTTCTTATATGGTTTTAGGTAAATAACTGAAACTCTAGTCTTCAATTTCCCATATATGAATACAGTGAAATAGTGTTTCCTACTTGCATTAGAAAAGTGAATGTTTGTTTCTCAAAAAATTGTGTAGTTTATTAACACCGTATATGTTTTTATGTGGAGCAGGATGTTAAGATATGCCATTTGAAGAAATGTTTTTGTGGCCTGCTGAAAGGAAAATCTTTTCTTGAGTCCAAACTGAAAGGTTGCTCACATGTAAGAATTTATCTATAAGGTGGTTCAATAAAAAGTTATCAAATAAATGTTTTAGTTTGTAGGGGATACTGAAGAAGTACTTGTTTTTCTCGGGGGCAACTTTTTGTACCTTACTTTTATATTATAGCACTCCATTGCTGAGAATCTTATTAACATAATCATCCATTACTTTTTTAAATTTCCAGATAGGATATGTTTTTATTTCATATGATCAAATTTTGTGTTTGGATTGCCTGAGTGTATATGTGAAAATAATTACTGTGCAAATTGCTTGGTAATCTTCCATACAGTTTCACCAGAGGAAGCAAAAAATATGGGAATAAAAAATAAATAAAGGAATTCGAATTTGAGGCCTCCCATTTCTAGTTTTTTTTGTTTGTTTGTTTGCTTGTTTGCTTTGGTCATATTGAGTACAAAGCAGAAACAAAACTTGGAGAAGCAGAACAAACAGGAATGTGGACCAGTGTTGAGTGGCTGTCCTCTCAGTTCCTTTCAAACCAGCACATACCTCTGGGGCAGAGATCCTCTATCTGAAAACAAAACTTGGACAAAGTGCAAATCCTTCATTTCCTGAAATCTCTTTGTTTAGGCCAACAAACATGCAGGTCAGCATGGAGGTTATGGAACTGAAATTGAACACCATCTCCTTTTTCTTGGTCAATGAAGTGTAATTTGAGTCTTCTGCTTGTGTATCCTGCTTGCAGAACTGTCTCTGAAAACAAAGACTGGACACTGGTTCCTGGAGATATCCGAGCATGAAATGCTTTTACTGCCAATGGTCAGCTCAGTGCTGTGCAGTTTAAGGAGGCTGTGTGTAAATTTGCTATGTTGGTTAAAGTGTGGTTAGAGACAACTTGTGCTGTTGCTGTGTAGCTATCTTGAAAGAAAAATAAAGGAATGAAGTTTGAGGTCTGCAAATGTTCAATATCTTATAACAGCTCTTCTTGGGCTGGCAATAAGTGAATCTCTTTAGAAAATCAAATCCGCAAGGAGTTTTCAGTGGCTGATAACTGTGAAGTTTTACACAAGACTGGCCTCAAATACAGATTAAGGAGCAGTAGATATAATTGCCATTGATATCTAGTGGTATTTTCAGATGTGTAAGAAACTGAATTTGTAACTTGTCTTTATCTGGGAGATACAGCATACAAATATGTATGGTGTTTTGACTTGAATATCTTTGCTGTGTCTCTGCGCGTTTTTAGATAGGGAGAAACTAGTGGATAGAAACTGCTGCCAATAGTGTTTTGTTTAGCTACATTTCAGGATGGTAATTAATAATTAGATTTTACTGATTATTCTCTAGGATGAAATTAGATCTATACTTTAAGCAAACATTTTTGCTTGTTTTTACTGATGGGTTTGTTAGATAGGATTTGAGTGCATCTGGGCCCAATCATGTACCTCTTCCCCAAGTGCCTAATTCAATTGATTGGGTTGTTTAGTAACAAGAAATAGGATGTTAGCGGGATCTTAATTGTTTAATCTAACCACGACACAGTCATTAGGAGTAATACGTAGAGGTAGATCAAAGCTTACATCTTTGTGTTTGAACAGAAATGCTAGAGAAGGAAAGAGGTACTTCTTACTAGTGAGTCAGTATGTGATATTGTACAATTCTTGCTGAAGAATTGCTACTTGGCATAACTCACATGTAAAAGTCATGCCACAGCATAGTAACAAAAAAATTAGCTGTCAGTTTTCTCATATGTGATTGAATTACAACGCTCATGTTAAAAGTTGATGTAATTGATATATCCTTCTGTTCTATTATAGGTTACATCCATTTTACTTAGACTACAAGACAAAGATTTCTTGAAAATTGAGATCTTCAGGTAAGGACAGAACTCATTTTTAAACAAATGTGGACTTAAGAAAGAAAAATAATGCTAGCATTAACTGAACACAGAGAGTAGTTACTGTTTGTGATCTAGGCTTTGAAAAGCTGAAGAAAAGTCACTTGAGATGCGTTGAAAGTGGTGCAAGCTATAGAAAACAGACTACTTGAAAAATACACAGATATACACTTCTGGATGGTTTTACTATTTTGAATGCTTTGTACCTAGCATATCTTTTGAGGAAGGAATGGTAAAGAGCTGTCTTCAGACAGAAAAATGAGAGTGGGCTGAGAAGGCGAGTCATGGGTAGCTCTCTGATACCAGGTTTTAGCAAAATGACTGTGCAGATTGCTTGTTGTAGTCTCTCTCTTATGTTTTGGGGAGCTTTGGTAGACTCAAACTTCGTGTTCAGGAACTGTTCTTAGTCCCCTAGGGATTGTTGCTAAATAATAGCAAGTCCAGTAACTGAAGTTGTCCTTGTTTGACTGATCTCTCCCCTGGGATAAACAAGCAGTAGCTCTGCAGAGCGAAAAATCAGCAGCTCTTTGTTTATACAATCTGTTAAAATGCCTGCTTTGTGCGTAAGAATTCAGGCATTTTCAAGACAACTGTTGAAAGATTAAATATTTTTTTTGTTATGGGAACAGTCCCAATTTGCTGGAGATGGCATGTAATGGCACATACCTACAGCTGACATAAAACGTAAGTCTTTATACTTTCTCACATTTCTCACATAATGGGAAGGGAATTGTGAGTATTTTTACTTCTAATACAGACTAGTACAATGTGAGTGAGCAGTTCATGTATTTATGAGTAAGAGAAAAATCCACTAGTATGATAGCCATTTGCAAAACATATGAAGTTAGTGTTTAAAACTTTCAGTGCAGCATTCCAAGGGAATTAAAACTTTCTGAGCTGCTTGATCTGCAGAACCTTTGCCATCTTTTCAGTTTATACTGCTTATAAACATATTTCTCATCTTAAAGCTTGTAAACACAATACAGAAAGTTTTTGAAATTGGATAATTAAATCTTTGCATAAATAGATAACTCTTCTTGACCCCTTAATATTCTGTTACCTTGCTGAAGTATCATAAAGAGCCTGAAATAGAAAAACTGCGTTGAAACTCCTTTGGGCTTGCATTCTTGGAACATATCCTAGAGCAATTTCATGACTTAATTTGCATTTGGTGTTGGGGAATTTATAAGGCTCTGGTGCTTTGTTACTTGTGCCTAGGTTTTGAAAGGAGAAGAATGAATGCCTGTTAAGTTCGAAATAAAATTGAAGCCTTTTCTTATAAACATGGATGTGTTACCATTGAGGTGCCAGTTAGTTCATGGAGGTATTCAGAACACTAGAAGCTATCTGTTATCTTCCAAAGCTTACAAGTTATAGAAATTAAGGACAAACTTTTCAATTTTAATATTCATTTTTATAGAAATCAGTTCTACAAAATTTTTAAGACCATTAAAAGTAATCCATTGCTTTTCTGTTGTTTCCTAAATCTTTGTCTTGCCTTGGCTATGGAAAATGATTATTTTTTCTTGTTAGGTATTCAAGTAGGTTTTAAACTAAATTTTAGAAATATTGCATTTTACAATAAACTTTTTAAAATGCAGCTCATTTTGAATTCTTTAAAGGTTACTGATTTGTTTACACTGTGTAGCTGTAAGATAACAAATGCTGGCCCTGCTTCTTCATTATTCTTGTTTGTCTGCTTGTCTGCTTGAAATAAAGAATACGCAAGTAATGTTACCAATTTAATTGCATGAACATCGACATTGCATTTGATTGTACATCTTTGTAGATGTAATGTCTTTACTGCTTCACAATGAGGGTCTTCTGAAGGTCGTAGAGTTATTCTATGTTTAAAATGCTTCTCGGAATGAGGAGTTATTTTTGACATCTTGCATTATAAGTTAGGTCACTTCAGTCATTTTAGAAAGAAAATACACTAGTAAGTTGAGCACAGAAAGAATTGTGAATAGGTCCATACTTGTTCTGTGTAATTCTTTGTAATGTTACTTTTAGTTATTTTTTTGCATTAAACTTGCAGATGATACGATCATCTTGAAATTATTTCAAAATGCTGTAGAAGACTGTCCAGTCTTTGACAATAGCATTTTACCAATTTACCACTCACAACTGAAACCAAACAAATTTTAGTGACCGTTTACATTTTGAACTCACTTCTGTTGTAAAGGTTGAAGTAACTCTGTGTTGTATGGCTGTTGTCTGTCATTGCTTTGCAAATATAGGAACTGTTGAACTTCAAAGGCTGTGTATAAATATACTGCACTAAGTCTTGTTTCTTTTTCCTGTCATTTATTATCGACTTTTACAGTAATAATAGGTCTGGTCTTTCATGCATTGTACATCTGAGAAACCCATTTGAGCTTGATTTTGCTTTGAGAAGGATTTAAGCATGGTATTCCACAGGTATTTCTTTCATGGAGAGAATAAATTATATAATAACAACTATTAATGATAATGTTAAACCTAATAACTTCAACAGCTGGAATGATTTTTCTGCTAATATTTCACATGGAACCAATACAGCTGAGATAAGGTGTGCCTGGTTCCTTTTATTCCTTATGAGTCATCAGCAGAGCTGAATATCCAACCCCAGCCCTGCAAGCAGCCAGTATTGTGGAATCACCTTGGCAATGTTCAGAAAAATGTTGCTCCATAGCCTGGGCTTGAAACCACCCCGATTCTTGAGCTGGCTTTTAGTAGTTCCACAGAGAGTTATCTTAACGGAGAAAAAGCACCTGAATTCTATTTGCTTTGGGTAGGAAAGACCAGGGAGGTTGTGGAGGAAAGAGGAGGAGGTAGCTGCCATGTGAATGAGCTTTGTAAGCTGGTGTCACAGGCAGGGTTGTGGGGAAAAAAAAAAAGAAAAAAAAAAAGTGGTATTCCAAGGGAAATGAGAGGGTGAGGACAGGACTGTAGGGGGAGAACTAGGGGAGGGGAGAAGGGCAGTACCTTTGGTGGCAACCTGTCAGTTCCACTCAGCTGTCTTTCAAAAATGCTACTTGTATATTGGGAGAAGTCTTCTGGTCTGCTGAGAATAAAAGAGTGAATGATGCTTGAGCACCAGACCCCATGAAATATCTCCATCGTATCAGTTCTGAAGGATCATATTCCCATAATTTCCCTCCAGCTCAGAATTCTTTTGGAGACTCCTGTTCTTCTATTCTTCCTTCTCTTCAGTCCTTTTGGCAGATTCAATTTGCATTGCGCTCTGGGGAGTTAATTAATTTCCTGTTGGCCCAGACTACAAACCCCTGTACTAAGTGTTGGTGTGTTGTGTTGCATATCGTTGTTGGTAAATCTTATTTTTGCATGTTTCAATTACGGCATGTTTGATGTGCTGGAAGATATATCCAAGTGGTGTGTGCTTGCTGAATAAGTGGCACTCAAATGTGAAATCTACTTTAGTAGCAGAGTGAATAATCTTACCCTGTTATAGAACTCAGAGACTTTATAAAAGCAGTTTTTAATTATATGTCTTAGTATTGTAACTTAAAATTAAACTTTCTGAAATTGGAAATCCAGATTTGAGCTGACATCATAACATGTGACCTTCAGTAGTTATTGAAAATTGAAAAATTGAAAACATGAGACAAGGGCATTAATTGCTGAATGGTTTATAAGCTTGCCCTGGATGTTCATCTTAAGTGTTAGCACTATTTTATTATATACGATAATAGTTATCATTTATGGATACTATGTGTGCCTGAGATAAGGCATTCAAACTCATTTTACTCACCTCTAGCTCAAATCTTTTGAACTTTCAATTAAATACATAGAGCTACTTGCATATAACCTATTGCTTTTAGCAGATCTGGAAATGTGAGCAAAACAGTGCGGGTCTGATTTGGCAGCTAGGCTTGTTGACTCTGGGATTTGTATGCAGCCAGTTGCAGGAGAAAGTGTTAAATGAATGTATCTGTAAATTTATATTCTTTTATTATTAGCAATTTGAATTTTTGTTTGCTAGTAATCCTTACAAAGATATCTTGAAATCTGGTTGGCAACTATCCTGCAGAAATGGTTGCTGCAGTCTTCAATACAGTTTAATAGAGTGCAATGTCTTGTGTGATATGTGTAACTGACAAGGGCTGTAATCAAACTTATTTTCAGGTGACTCGATAGTTATAACTTTAAGCCAATTTGCAGCTACATTCATTTTTTGGAGTCTCAAGATATTTTCCTTAATTTTGTTTGTAGCTGGTATTCTATAACTGACACAATAAGGTACAAAATTTGATAGTTTGAAAAATAAGTTTAAGACTGTCATATTAACATTTACTCAATTTCAAATCTAGAATGCTTATTTCTAAAATATATTCACTTTGCATGTAGCCTTGTCTGTGTATTTCAGAATATCCAAGATTTGAAATCATATGTAGTTGACTTCATTATATTTTGGTAAAACAGGAGAGAAAGTAGGACCTCTGCTTTCCACACTGTTCACAGCTGCTGTAGAGCTGAGGATCTGTTTTCTCATCTTGGAGAATACAGCTCTTGCTCTCAAAGTTAAAACTGCCTGTGTTATTTGCATCTGTTGTATTTTGGTCTGTGTATGTCTCCTGTGACTTTAAAAGATTAAACATGATCATTCTTTCTGTACTTTTCTAGCATCACAATATGCTAAAGTTGGCTTGAATATTTAAAAAGTGGGGTCAAAATATGATCTTGCATTAGCAGAAATATATGCATGTTGAACCAGGTGCCACTGCATACTGTTGCAAGCCAAAGAGGCTTGTGGTTTGTTATATTGACCCCGGTCCCTCCAAATGAAATCTCGGAATACGGCAAATGTGTTGATGAAGCAAGGACGTGCTTTTATTTACTAAAAGATGGATGAGTGAGAGAGGAAGAAGAAAAGGAGAAAAACTAAAAGAAGTCACCACTGCAGATCCCAAGATGTCCTGAGGGTCTGTTCTACTCTTTCTAGAGTGTTGAGGATGTGATGGGCTGAGCGCTGCTGG